TCTTTGTGCTTCAAAATATCACTAATTGAACGCATTGCGATCACCACAGATTCAATTTATTCTCTTAACAAATGCCGAACTAGACCATACATTACCTTTTTTTCTGGTCGCTGAGCTTTCCCTTTTAATACCCATTGCTGATTTTAAAGTAACTTCATTTGAGAAAAGAAGATTTTTGTATCGTTCGTATTCTCTCGTAACCCAAATATAAACTGATTTTAATAGCAACGATTTTAACCGTTTTTAGTTTTAAGCTTTGTTAAAATGCTAGCATCTCTGCTCCAATAACATTGGGTATATGACTGTTAGCAGCCCATTCTTCAGCAACTCTGTTTAATTCTTCACGAGTAGGAGGATATTTTATCCAAACATTTCTTTTATTACAAATGTGACTAAAAACTTTTTTAACAATTTTGGATACTTGTGAATGGTGAATCCCTAAATCCATGCCAACACCTATTTGAAATCCTGGGTCTCCTTAATAAATGTATAAAATGATAAGTAAAGTGATGTGTAAAATAAAATTGAAAGTCACAAAGACTTCTCAAGTACACTTCCATCTGTTGGATTTTTGATAATCCGCCACCTTTGCCATCGGTTTCCCCTGGTATAAAATGGTTAGCTAGCCACACAACGTTTCCTCTGTTAAATCTAATAGAAGAATCACATTCCTATAACACGAATAGTTACCTAAATAATTTTCGATACAACTCGTCGTATTGTACTGTCTGTCTAGGCAGGTAATGTTTTCTATTTCTTAGGCCTTCTGCCATGTATAATACTGTAGCATCGTAGCAAGATTACCGAAGCTGGCCTTTCATACGCTTCATAAACTACCGAGAAAGTAACTTCCAGGAAATATCGAAGTATTTATGTACTGCAATTAGCAGAACCTGCTTTACAATCATAGAATTTACTTGGACAATTTACTTCAGTATTGTAGCATTAGCATTTACTAGTGTTTTATTCAACCCACCCATTATGTTTTCACCATGAGGCTTTATCTACTATAACAGATCGTATTTTCATTTTTACCTCCCATCGTTCCAATAAGCAATGAGTTGCGTTCTTTGGTTTGGTAAATTTGGAGTTTTTCTAGTAGTTTTCCACAATATAACTCAATGTCAGACATAGACGGTCTGATTACTTAGCTGGTTTTCTTGGTAAGTGGCTTGGTAAGATCATATCACAAATTACATAGCTGCAAGATTGCATATTGCAACCCTTAAATATGTCATATCCAGTTCCATACTTAGACCTCATTTCAAGAAAATTGGTGTCTGTATGTAGCATTTGGGAATGTATGTGTTATCGCACATTGTACGTAGTCGTTAGGATTTAGTAGTTAGAATTTCCCAAAGTTCTAGTCGTCTTTCTCGACAAAGAGGAGAATTTTAACATGCTTCATGTTATTAAGGCTCTTTCCCTTTCCATATAAGAATACCAATAACTATAAGGATTTACCCTTAGCGGCCCATATGTTATAATTAAAATCCTTACTGTTAAAACAGTTTGTCTACTGTTGGTAAAAGCAGTAAAATTCTTATAGGAATTAACAATTAAAATAGTAATAACTTTCGAACGTTGAATCAAAAGTGAAGATAAGTTTCTAGCGAAGTTATCCAATCAATCCAGCCACAAAGCTTCGTTAATTCTAGAGGAGGTCGTTTTATCAATGAAGATTCCTAAAGCAAGCTTCTTATGGTCCATATTACAATCACATAAAAAATTCGTATATTTTTCTATTCCAATTCTCATTACTTACTCTGGGAAGCTTGGATCAGTCGCACTATTTTATGGGAAGGAACCTTGTCTTAGATGGGTTAACGGATGCTGTCATAACCTCTGTTTCCTTACAGTTAATAGTTATTTTAATTATCATAATGAAAGCATCCACAAATTCGAATTTATTAACCCAAAGTTGTTAAGTCAGTGCGATAGTGTTATCATCACATAGAAGTTGCAACGTAAGGTAATCTTTTGTGATGAAACCACTCTTAATTCTAGACTATTATCGTAGCTTAGAGGTGTCTTCGTTCGAAGATGGTGAGTCGAGAATTGAATATCACAAAGAACTTCTTTTGAACCGTATTTAGGTTATCAGTAACTAGTGTTACCAGCTCTGGCAGTTATTGTAGCCTGACATCGTCATGGCATACTTTCAATTAGAGATGTGATGATTTCTTGAGGAATCTTCCCATACGCGAATAAGACTTTGTGGCAACTCGTCTAAGCTGTTAGGTGGTGGATGCTGACTTCTAATATTCCGTCCCATTATGTCCCAAAAATGCTCGATTGTCAAAAGGTTCTAAAATGTCTGTTATGTATCGTTCAGAATTCAGACGTCCACCATAAACGATAAAAAGTTTCTCGAATGTTACATGTGGAATATCTTTCATTTGGCCTTCTGTACACTCTTGGACGACGATCAGAATTTACAAGGCAAAACCGTGACTCATCCGTAAATAAAACCTGCTCCCAATGATGGATTTCCCAATTCACGTGCCTTCTTGCAAAAGCCAATCTGTTTCTTTGGTGGTTTGCAGATAATCTGGGACCAGTAGCTGCTGTCGTAAATTTTGAGTACGAAGTCTTCTTCTTATGGTATCTTGACTAACAGCAGTGCCATGAACCTCGTTTAGTTGTATTTGGAAGCTTCGTGCAATAGTGAACCATTCCCTAAGTGTTCGAAGCATCAAAAATCAATCCTCCACCGCATTTGTAGCTCGTGGCCTGTCTTGGCCACGTCGTCTAGCATAATCGTTGGTCTCTACAAATCTCTGCAGAACCTTACCGACCCTTGTATGAGCCACGCCAAACCTTCTACCAAGTTCGTGATTTGTTAGTCCTTCATTGGACAAAGTTACAATTTAAACACATTCATTACGATTTAAATTTCGTCTAGCACGCTCCATTATGTATTGCACGAATGACAGTTATCTTATCAATTGTTAAAACAATTAAAAAACAATACCTACTTTTATTTTAGAAGTGCTATGATTTCAAAATTAAATAAAGAAGACGGACAAATCCTATACAAAAGGCGGAATAATGAACAAATTATTATAACTGATATTAATGAATCGGAAATATATAATATTTCTCGAAATAAAACCAAACGTCAGAGTGGTGCGTTAATTTTGCGGTTAACTTAATCTACACTTAAGATTAAGTTGACGCCTTCAATTCCTGGAAGCAATTCCACATGCGCCTTCAATGTACAAATTAGCCCCTGAAGCTTCCTCGTGAATTTCCACCTTAAATTTTAGCTTCAATATCGTTAAATTTTTCTAGCAAGTTTAAGTCACTTTTAAGTCCGCCAAAATGTTCCAAAATGCGTTACTTTACCACGATTTGAAGAGGTACCACGTTTTTTCGTGGTATCGAATTGCCATTGATTTGCTCTTTTAGCTAAACTATCTTTATTGAAATATTTTTTACTTCTGCAGCTCTACTAAAGTTTAGTGGTCGCATTTTTTCAATCTCGATTTTCTATTTTCTACATAGAGAATTTATTCAAAAACATGGATAATACAAATTTTTTCAAATGCGTTTTTGCCTTTACCCAGAGAAAATTCCATCTATATTTTTAATAACACATTTCCAATAGTATAATCTTTTCCGCCAATTTGTAGAAGAGTACTATCTGAGATCTTCTGAACCTGAGCTGTGATCGCTTTTTGTAACTTTTCCATCCAAAATATTGGCATAACCTTCTACGTTTTCATCTAAATTATAAATATTTTGTGCCATAATCCCTAACTTTTTTTATGTAAGGTGTTTTGGAGCCCAGATTGATGTATCTAGGTCTGTTTAGCTATTCATGTTATTCTAAACATTATAATAAAAGAATAATGGCACTATAGGTTGGTTGTTGTCAAATTATATTCGATCTCTAGAGCATTGATTTCGTATTGCGAGCTGAAGAATGTTTTGGCATCAGCAACTGAAAAAACTTATTGCACACTTGTTATATACATTTGGAAACTGCATCTATCCCGAAAGCCAATACATCATCAACTCTCCCACTGATTAATTATTCTTACAGAGATCTTAGGGCAAATTTGCCTTTGCCCAGAGAAAATTCCATCTATATTTTTAATAACACATTTCCAACAGTATAATCTTTTCCGCCAATCTGTAGAATAGTACTATCTGAGATCTTCTGAACCTGGGCTATGATCGCTTTTTGTAACTTTTTTTCCAAAATATTGGCATAACCTTCTACGTTTTCTTCTAAATCATAAATAGTTTGTGCCATAATTCTTAACTTTTCTGTATGTATGTAGGTCTGTTTAGCTATTCATGTTATTCTAAACATTATAATAAAAAAATAATGGTTGTTGTCAAATTAAGAGCATTGATTTCGTATTGCGAGCTGAAGAATATTTTGGCATCAGCAACAGAAAAAAACTTATTTGCGTTTGGAAACTGCATCTATCCCAAAAGCCAATACATCATCAACTCCTCCACTGAATAATTAATCTTGCAGAGTTCATTGGACGTACTAACTACTGGCAGTTTGCCCACTTTGTTTGGTTTTAATTTCTGGCTTCTTTTGGCAGTTCTGGTACCTAATTAAGATAATTAAGGATTTATGAAACTTAAGTCGATTATTATTTTATCTCATAATGTTTGGTGGCCACTTCAAAATCTAAGGTTTGGATCTAAAATCTGAATGAAACTACACCTAAGAACAACGAAAGTAAGGACATAGTGTTAAAAATATTAAATCAAGGTAAAATAACTCGATATAATTAATCAGTATGAACTAATTAGAAAACGAATTTACTGTAAATGTGTTAAACATGACATAGCTGTGACCACCAAAATTTTAATATTCGAGGAAGAACTTCCGGTTGAAGCTTATTTCGGCCCCAGACTAATTGTATATTCAAAACAATTTAACGTTTTATCTTTGACTCTATTATATAGACACTCCCCTCGTGTGTTTGTATATGTATAGTATGTATCGTTCGGTTCGTGTTTATTACGATGCGGGACATGTGGAAGCCAGTCCGACGCACACACTCACGCCACAAAGTAGCATAGCACAGCAGTATGTAGTCGAGAGTCAGCCGGTCGAACGAACAAACGCGACTCGCAGAAAACAGCCAACGATCGACGCGTTTCTTTTGGTTTTTTTCTTCACGTGCAGTGAGGTTCTTGTTTTTAAGGTGTCTCGTTTTTTTTCGCGATACATTTTTTTTTATCATTAACTAGAACGATTTGAGTAAGGAGTATTATTTCTTATCCAATTTAAAAATAAACGATTCATACTTTAATCAGATTATTACTTATCACCCATTTTTACTTTCACTTACATTTTGATTAAATTTTATTAACATTTTTGGTCATTACCTTGAATTGTAAATTTTCCTTTGTGGAATTTTATAAAGGAATGTATTCTTAGATGAGATGTGTATGATGCAGACGACCTTGCGACCTATTCTTAATAAACAAACACCATTTATCTCATCCAATTTAGAGCAATCATAGATACTGATATCATCTCTATAAATTCCAACTCTAATTAATCAATTAATTATTGAGCGAAGAGATGGTGGTCAGTGAAAGTACTTCTTTCTAGTTAGTAGTTTTCGAACCTTATTTATGTTTTATTGATTATCATAAAACAAATGTGCGCCGTTCTTGTAACGCATGCAATATGCATCACTAACTTTCTTCTATCAACTGGAATGTGTTTATTTTTGGACTTTAATCAGGATGTAAAAGAGACTACTATCGCAATATCCTTCTGATGATAAGAACATAAATATTTCATTGTGTTATCAATGCACAACACATAAAACGAAATAAATTGAGACGAATTAAAAGTTACTATGAATTATGATTAATCAAAATCCCAAATATTAAAAAATTTCTTTATCAAAACATAAGGTAGATAAGAGATTTCACCACAACTTCCTTATGGAAAAAAAGTAAGTTGAATCATAACTTATTTTTTATATTTCTAAACGTAAACTGTATTTTTGCCAAAACACCACCATCTAAAAAAAGCTTCAGCCGAACATTTCTATATTTAAATCAATCTAGTTAAGTTTTCGTGAACTGAATCGAAGTAAAAAAGAAAGAACAAAACCAAAACCGGTCGGAAAATAAATAATTCGCGATTTTCTAACAGTTTTTTCAAACAGACTTTCTCGTCGCCGTCGTCGTCGTACTTTCATCATGTTGAGGAGGAGTGTTTGAAATCGGGCACGGTTTAAAAGCATTGCATCGATGATAAGAAATATTGAGGGTTATCAGTGTTTATCCGTATCTCGAACTGCGAACATCAAAATTCCTGGGAATTAATATAATTATTATTAAAAAAAAAAATTAGTGATGTGCCAAAAATAGTGACAGCAATTTAATTTTCTTCTCAACTAAAATGAGTGACTCTGAGTATGAAGTTCAAGATTTAGACTATGACATGTGGGAGGGGCAATTTGAATTTTTGGGCCCCCTCAATCATCAAAACGTCCAACCTCACGGTTTACTCAAACCACCACCTTTCATGCCTCATCAAACCAACGGAATTAAAAAAACTTCAGCTCATGTATGGTGTGATGATGTTAATGATAAAGTAAAAAAACTGATTTTGAAATTGATTCAATTCCACGACGAATTAAAAATTAATGCGCGATTTTTATTCTTAGATGCAACTGCTGCAACAGCAAGTCGGTGTCCTTCAGGATTCTTCACTACAAAATGATGAAAGATACACAAGAGTTAAAGCAGAAAATGCAGCATTACAAGCTAGGGTGAACATGCTGGAAGAACAACTCAGAGATACCGAAATAAGATGTGAAGAAAGACTTCAGGTATGTATTTATTTATAATTAAATAAATGTCATTTTTAACTTTTTGATTGTCATTGACAATTAATTATGTCGTGCTCCCCCATCAAACAAAAAACACAAAAAAGAGGTTTAATAGGAATCAATATTTATAAGAAATTTAGAACTAACGAAGTCTCTTTAAACATCTTCATTAAAAAAAAATTAAATAAATATTTTTTTAGGATGAACAACGCCGTGCTAAAGACGCGTTATTAAGACTTGATCGCGAAAAAGAACTCCAATTGGAAAACTATAAGATTCGATTACAATCGTCAGAAATCGAATCGAATAATCTCAGGGAAGAAGTGACTCGTCAAAGGGTTAGAATTGAAAAATTGGAGGATGAACGTAGGGAATTGTCGAATAAACTTCAAGATATGAGAAATGATGTAATTGTTACTAAGGAAAAAGAACATACTTTTAAGGAGCAAGAAAGAAGGTAATAAAGATCTTATTGAGTTGGGTTGTTAATAATTAATTAAATATTTTTAGGCATTTGAAAGATCAAGAAGCGCAATCTCAATTAATCGAAGAATTATCGAGAGAGGTGGAAAGACTGAGATCGGAAACGAGAACTCCTGCATTACCGACAACATCACCTGAAACTTTAAGACTGGAAGAATTGCACGAAGAAATGTCCGCGTTGCGAACGAAAAACTCTCAGTTGGAAGAGGCGAACGAAGAACTTCAAGCTAGTCTTTTGCACGCGAGCGTAGAACAGGGACGATTATTAACTAACACAGCAGCAGAAAATAGTTTAGCTGCTGAATTAGAAGCCATGACTCATGATGAGGTAAGAAATTAGCTTGTGATTTTCTTTCCCATAAAAAGAACTAATTTCATAATGCTTTTTATGAAGTAGAATAATTTATAAACTTAAGATAAAACAATGAAGTCTTAAGTTTGTTTTTTTAAATACAATTTGCTTATTGTTTTTGTTGTTGGGTTGCTGGTATGCTTAAAGCGTACTCTTTGTTTTTTACTTTTTAGACTGCTGACATGCACGACGCTGATTCCTTCAGTAAGGTATGCACAAATATTTCAAATTTTTTGAAAGCACTTAACCCTTTAATAAATAAAAAACCGTTGAAAAAAGTCACATTATTTATAAATTTTGCATTTAAGTCACGTATTTTTCTTTTTTAAAGGATTATTAATAACCTCTTTTCTTCGTTAATATTTATTCCAACTTAAAAATTATTATGCTAAACGGTAGAATGACATTTTAAGAAAGGAAGTAACGCTGTAAATGAGAAATGATACTTTCTATTTTAACCCTAGAGTGTATAAACTGAACCTCTCATGATTTTAAAGATTTTAGTTACTAAAAGATTTTTAATTTTTTAAAACTAATATTTAACTCAAGATCTGTTATGTATTAAATATCTCATATACAGTTATTTATTATATAAAAACATAACTAGGTAAACGTAAAAGGTTATTGATTATGGCATAAAACTAAACTATTGATTATTGACTTTAACAAAGTCACTAATGTTTTTTTTGCTTTAATTTTGAAGCCATTTTAATGGCACACTGAGCGGGCACTTACATTCATAATTGCTGAAAATCTAGCTAAAACTCGTAAGGCGGCATTAACTTCTTCTCTGGTGGGCTGGGGATGATCCTTAGCTTCATCACTATCTACAGATGACAAGGATGTAGTTGTAGGAACAGGAATGTTGCGATCGCTAACTTCAAAAGTGCTCAGGACTGTCTCTGGACAAATGGCCAAATCGTTATCGACATTAACAAAATCTTCAAATGAAATTTCAAGTGGCTGTATCTCTTGTAAAACAGTTCATTCTTCAGCTGCTGGTGGTAACAAATCTAAATTTCATCTGTTAGATCAGTGTTCGGCCATGCTTTATTAAAACAACGTTTAATTGTTTGTTAACTAATTGCATTTCAAGACGAACCTATTGTTTTAATAGCTTGTAGCAAATCCCATTTAACATTTCCATTGTTGTCAATAGCACGAATAGCAAATTTCAGTAGTTTTGCCTTGTAAAATGACTTAGCTATTATGGCTTGGTCAAGTTTCTGGTCAGTTGTAGAGTTGGGCGGAAAGAAATACACCGTGATGTTAGATAAGTTTAGGTTTTCAGTTTTATGTGCAGCACAGTTGTCTAAACCCAACCCAACCCAACCCTTTGTGTCCCAAGAAGTTAAAAATTTTGAAACTTAGTAAAAGCTTTGGAATCAATGTTAGCAAAATATGCAATCCTCCCATTACAGGGGGATAATCAAATGGTACTTGAGCATTAAAATATATTTTAGTGATGTTGCAGTATACGAAAACTTTTATTGCTAATATAAAAATAATACATTTTTTATTATGTTAGAAAATAAGTAACACAAGTGTCAAAAAAGATGCTAATTTAAAAATTCCTGGAAGCCGTATTTATTGAAATTAAGGAATGAGACTTATTCTAAATTAAAGCTCAATGCTTTCTCTTTAANTGACAAGGATGTAGTTGTAGGAACAGGAATGTTGCGATCGCTAACTTCAAAAGTGCTCAGGACTGTCTCTGGACAAATGGCCAAATCGTTATCGACATTAACAAAATCTTCAAATGAAATTTCAAGTGGCTGTATCTCTTGTAAAACAGTTCATTCTTTAGGTGCTGGTGGTAACAAATCTAAATTTTCTTTATCTGTTAGATCAGTATTCGGCCATGCTTTATTAAAACAACGTTTAATTGTTTGTTAACTAATTGCAGCTTGTAGCAAATCCCATTTAACATTTGCATTGTTGTCAATAGCACGAATAGCAAACTTCAGTAGTTTTGCCTTGTAAAATGACTTAAAATTAGCTATTATGGCTTGGTCAAGTTTCTGGTCAGTTGTAGAGTTGGGCGGAAAGAAATACACCGTGATGTTAGATAAGTTTAGGTTTTCAGTTTTATGTGCAGTACAGTTGTCTAAAGCCAACCCAACCCAACCCTTTGTGTCCCAAGACGTTAAAAATTTTGAAACTTTGTGACAGAATTAAAACGTTATGAAAATACACTCAGTAAAGGTCTTTGGAATCAAACTTAGCAAAATATGAAATCCCCCCATTCCAGGGGGATAATAGTACTTGAGCATTAAAATGTATTTTAGTGATGTTGCAGTATACAAAAACTTGTATTGCTAATATAAAAATAATACATTTTTTATTACGTTAGAAAATAAGTAAGACAAGTGTCAAAAAAGATGCTAATTTAAAAATTCCTGGACGCCGTATTTATTGAAATTAAGGAATGAGACTCTAAATTAAAGCTCAATGCTTTCTCTTTAAAATGATGTATAATAATTGTTGGGTTGCATTGGAAAAATATTGAGAAAAAAAATGTTGAAATAAAACTTACATTTTCATATAACCTAAAAGAGTCAAAAAAAATGCTAATTTAAAAATTCCTGAAAGCCGTATTTATTGAAATTAAGGAATGAGAGTTATTTTAAATTAAAGCTCAAACCTTTCTCTTTAAAATGATATATAATAATCGTCAGGTTGGATTGGAAAAATATTGAGAAAAAAAATTTTGAAATAAAACTTACATTTTTGTATAACCTAAAAAAGTGTCAAAAAAGATGCTAATTTAAAAATTCCTGGAAGCCGTGTTTATTGATATTAAGGAATGAGACTTATTTTAAATTCAAGCCTAAAGCTTTCTTTTTAAAATGATGTATAATAATTGTTGGGTTGGATCGGAAAAATATCGACAAAAAAAATGTTGAAATAAAACTTACATTTTCGTATAACCTAAAAGTGTCAAAAAAGATGCTAATTTAAAAATTCCTGCAAGCCGTATTTATTGAAATTAAGGAATGAGAGTTATTTTAAATTAAAGCTCAAGCTTTTTTTTTAAATGATTTAAAATGAGTGTTTAAAACTACCGGTACTTTAAAGTACCGTCGGGACACAAAGGGCTAAAAAATTTATAACGATGTTGGGCAATCATCTTCTGATTTAGTTTGAGTAGCTAACTTGTTATTTACTTTTTGCACTTCCGTGACAACGTTCTCCTTTAAAACGTAAGGTACGATTGGGCATTAAGTTGTAAAAAATTCCACTTTCATCCATATTAAATACATCTCGTGGGGCGTATAAATTTTTAACAGTTATAAAATTTGATAACCACAAATTTACGGAGTTTTCGTCTACGTTGTGACGTTGTTGGAAACGCCATAGCCATCCTGAAGAACATTCAAATTGTTCAATTCCATATCTCGCGGCAATTTTCATAGCTCTCTCCCGTAATATTGGTCCTGAAAGAGTTATGCTAGAAGCTCTCATATGATTAAACCATTCTAATTCTTTCCTGTGGAAACCATACATTTTTTCACACACAGTTTAAAATTGCCATTACAAAAAAGCACATTTGATTGAAAGATGTTAGCCAAAGTTATAACTGATAACTAACGTTAAATCAAATGATAGATCTTTCGTTTTATGATATAATATAAATATTTCATTAACATCAAATGAGTATACTTTCATTTGAAAATCTGTACGCGTTAGGTATGCCATATCTATACAAGGATGGTCAGAGTCATTTGGAGTACGGAAATGAGGCCATTTTGATGGTCTTAATTTCTTCATAACATCATTTATTCTATCGTGTAAACTTTATAGACTGTCCATAAACGCTGTTCTGCTTGTTGTGGCCACTTTCACTGAAATCGCTATCCATTGTTATCTAGAATTCCTTCAGCCAAACACTGAAACAACTACGGTTTGAATGCGAAACACTTTTACCAACCTCTGGTTATTTGATGTTAAGTAACTGATCACTCAGTTTTCATCCTTCTTATAATCTGCATCACTAAAATGATCGGAACAAATCTAGCATTTGTTAAAGATTTATTGACCAGTTCGTGAAATTTTTATTGCCCACAATTTTTGCATTTCCAGATCTTTTAGAAAATTGTAATATATTATTGTTTTTCCTTCCAAAATTATTGTTATTATACAAAGAAAAGGCTCATCAAAGTATGATAAAGCTACCAAGCATTTGATCATAATTATTGTTTTCGCAAATTTCTCTTGTGAACTCTATTATTTATGATTGATAAATAAACGTGTGAAAAACGAGCATTGTACTTTTTTGATTTTTTATTTACTAAAGAAATTACTTTTGGAATTTTACATTACAAAACCTAGAAACATTTGTCGTTCTCCACTCATCTTTACACTATTAGTATGAAAATAAGTTCAAGCCAGAAACATTTTTAACATACAACAAAACAAAGTGTTATTGACGTTTTAGATACAGTACTGAGACAATAATTAATACTCATGTAAGAGAAGCACAAGGAGCTGCTCAATAGCATTGTTCTACAATTTTATTGGCATTACTTGCTGCAACCTTGCTTTGATGATCTGGCTTTTTTAAAAATCCTAAGCAGAAGTCAAATTTACCAATGAAATCTCGAAGAAAAAATTTCCTGGAAGAACTTATAGTGGAACTTGGCAATGTCCATATCTTTAAAAGGTATGATCAAATTGGAAACCATTGTAGCTAATTGGCTCCAAACGTGGAAAATGTTATGCTTCTTGTAGGAGACAATAAATACACTAATAAGTGTGAGGTTGTGTTCCTCAATCACAATGAAATAAACCAATAAATGGCACTAGTTTATTTTTATCACAAAATACACTGTCATCGTTTTTCCAACTGACCCTTCATATACAGAGTAGAACAAAAGTTTGGAATCGCCAAATTTACTTCTGAATGTTATTCCACTACTACACTTATTTAAGCTGGAGTATCTTTTAGCATGATGAGTCAATACATACATATAGTAATAACTTATGCTGGTTCAGTTTGAAACAATGTCTATCTTAAATGCTAAAAAAATCCAAATCCTGCAAAACAAATTATTTTTAAATGTTTATTGTGTACTTTCATTAAGTTTGTAAGCTTCAAAATATAGGTTAACATAATGTATGTATCCTAGGGTTAAAAATAGTTTTTTAAACATCAAAATTGCAATATGACTTAATATATTACCTTCCTTAATAATAATATTTTTAAAAAAGTGACATTAAATATCAACTAAATTATTATATTTTCATTAAAGGGTTAAATACTGTAGAATATTGGTGCATGTATTTCTATTAACTAAAACAAATACAATAAATTTTCTCACAAACTCATTTAATCATTTTCATTCATATTCAATTCTTTAATATATAATCACATTTATTTCATTGCAAATAAAAAAAATCACTTACAATTAGTTAAAACTAAAATATAACTTGATTTTAGTTTTATCTAAAATAAAATTATATATCTTAATATATTTTTTTAAATATCCTTTTAGATTCAACAAGCTTTAAAAGAACAACAAGATGTCAATGCTCAATTAAGGTCGTACATCGATGGAATTTTATTAAATATTGTAGAAAATTATCCTCAATTATTGGAAGTGAAACATAAATCTGCGTTATAGCCGAAACGTTGTATTCACGTTGTTCTGCACTTTGAGTGTTTTTTTTTAATGAAACTTTCAATATAATGGCGAAGAAGAAATGTTTGGAAACGTTTTCGGCTCAGCAGCGGTCCGTCCAAGTTGTTGTGTGATTATTTCGAAGACTGTGATTATTTGATGATGACAAAACCATTTTTTACTGTGTCGTAATAAACGTGTAAAGTTAATCTTGTTTGTGCAACGTTTCTTTGTTAAATAACAACAGTTATCGCCGAGCTAAATTTAAAGAATTGTAATTTTATTGTTTATTTTGAAAATGTTTAAGAATGATTAATATTTCTTCCTTTTTTTTAAACTAATAAACTGTTAATTTTTTACTATCCAAAATACTGAAAACTAATTTATGAAGTTTGAATGTAGTCTATATCTCGAATTCTATTTTTGTATTTACAAAAGAATTATTGTAAATTAATCAAATTAATTAATCTTATTAGTATATAAGGAAGTGTACATACAGTTTAGTTTATCTCTTATTTACTTTATTCTTTCATAAATTGCCAGTTTTATTTTTTCCTTATCAACAAATGAGTAGTAGAGCGGCCTATGTGAATGTTGAAATTGTGTACTTAGAGAATGTTTATATACTTTTAAATGAAAAGAAATTTATCTGTATAGCAATAAAATTATTTTAATAAATCAATATTTTTTTATCAAATAAACCTTTACAAATTTAAATTTATATAGTTTCTGATAATTGATAATACAATACAACTTGGTAAATTTATCATGGAGTGCGGCAGTAAATCGTTGAAGTCAACACACTAACAACATTATCCTAACATTAATGGGTATGCAAGGTTGAATTCAAAAAATTCATTAGGTTGAAATTTGAAGATTTGAAAGGGCCATCTTTAAAAGATTAAATACTAAGTGACTCTGCCTTAATACGTTCGCTACCAAGCGGCTCATATTTGACCCACATGGTTTTTTTTTGTTACAGGCAAAAATTGTATACTGGATAAATTCTAAAGTAAAATTTGAATAAAAAATCGAATATGCGTCGTTGGAAAAAGTGGATAATACTGAAAATTTCTTGGCAATGAGTACTATACATGGCTAGCATAAAATGTTATTGGTCAAAACAAAAAATTTACTATCCACATTGATAAAAACGACTTCAATATTCTTTGTATTTCCACAATGAATATGATGACGTATCAAACTGTATGCGTAAAATTACTAATATTAAGGAAGACAATCTTGAAAATATCAGGAAAATGTATTGTCCTGAACATAACTTATAAATTGCTGAAGCACTGCTGTTATGGCGTGGAAGGTTAATATTTCATTTTTTATTTTATATGTTTTAAATATTATCATTTATTCTGGGAAAGGAACAGTTCAGCAAGGATTACAAGACATACATCAAGAACAAAATTAAAAAGAAGAGATTGTCGGAAAATGAAGAGATAAAAGAAATTTATTTATCATTTCTACCTGCCCTAAATTTGAATTTACTCCTGTGGCAAATAGAAATGGTAATGAGAATAGAAAATGGTCGTCGACTACAACCAATTTATGTCGGGTATAGATAGGGCAGACCAGATGTGTCATATTATTTTACTTCTAAAAAAACCATTAGATGATATCTGAAGCTTTTCTTTCTGTTTATAGAAACAGCGTGAACTAGAAAGTTATCCAGATCATCCTCACCCTCTAGGCATCTTATCAAAAGCCTTCTCTAAATCCAGAAAGGCGAAGTATCATTCATCATATAATTCTGCTTCTTTTGTGTGGTCTTCGTGATTATTTCTTTTAGTGTAAATAGAGGGATCCCATATTATATATATCCTCTGAATCCATTTTGTGCTTCCAAAAATGTTGTATCTTTGAACTTAGTCTATGCTCTATCACATGTTCGTATATTTTCAGAACTGTGCTAAATTATTTTATGCCCAGATAATCTTTACACTTCTTGTCCGCTTTCTTATAAATTGGTACAATTAGACCTATTTCACAATCTTTAGGTATTTCTTCTTATTTAATGGCTTTCTTCATTATTTCCAGATTGAATGCGTTTTTCCTGCATTCTTTAACTTTTTTTTCATTTTATCTTCTTTAATGCTAGTTCAATTTCGTTCGTTGTTATCTTTTCTCGTTATCTTCTGCCTTTTGTTTATTTTTACTCTTGTTACATTTTGAGCCTTGGGCTTCTTCTATTTCTGTTACTTCCAATGGTTGGAAGAAATGACATGGAAATACTCTTTCCACTTGGTCATTATTTCCCTGCCAGTCTTCAAGACAAATAATGACTTCTGGTAACCTTTTTATTTTCTTCTTTTTTGTTTACGTAATGGTCTTTGTACACTGCATATGCTTTAGTGATGGAACGGATAGCGATTTTGCGAAAAGCCAGAAACCGGATATTCAGCATCCCCTTCGCCCGGATATCCTATTATCCGGCATATCTACTCGGCCATTATGGTTATAATTTCTGGTGCATTTTTGAAGTGATACCCTATATTGCCACATTATTACGATATTTGAATAAAAATGAAATTAATAAGAAAGCTGATAAGATATGTCAATTTGTTAAGACAAACCAATATGTTACTAGACACAATCATAGCATCATGCTGCCTAAACATAGGTTAAATTTATATGAAAAAGGTCCCTTGTATTCAGGTGTGAAAATCTGGAATAACATCCCTGTAGAAGTCAAATTAATAACTAGGTTAAACTTATTTAAGACATATATGCGATATTTACTTTGTAATTTAGCACCTTATTCACTCGACGAATTTTATAATAGCCATTGAATTTCGTTTTCTTTTTTAACGCTAGGTGAGTAGTAATGAGATGTGCATTTTTGTTATTTTTGTCTCTTTACTTTCTGAATAAAGTTTATTATTATTATTATTATGTATTATTATTTGGATCCAAGATACAAAATGAACTTTTTTGATGCTGATTTAATTAACGAACCAACTCTAACAAGAGGATACTTTAATTAATAATTGGTGATATTTCTACAAGGATCTATTAAGAAATTAATTTTATGGCGAATTTTGAAAGTTATCGATGAAAATTGCAACATCGAAAATTTTATCAAAACTTCAAATATTGTTTTCTCAAAAACTAGAAGTTATTTTTGAAAACGGGCTGCGAGACTTTCAACGTAAAAAGGCCGAAAAAGGTTAATAAAACTTAACGTTTTTTAAAATTTTTTAAAATTATCGGCCTTTTTACGTTGAAAGTCTCGCAGCCTATGCTAATTCCGTCATCTTCGCTTTTTTGTAAGTTTTTATATATTTATTTTTTATTGTTAACCACCTTTATTTTAGATTTAACCTTTTATATAATTTTTGGTCTTCAACCACGTTTACCTTTTTTGACCTTCAAATATTTTTACTGCGTATTAAAAATTTTTTCCGTTTTCAACATATTTAAATTTAAGATATTTTTTGGTATTGTTTTTCTCACTTGTGAACATCATTAATTTTGACTGTAAGTTTTTTGTTTTAACATATTTTGTTTTTCTAATTAAATAATGTTGTAGTTTTCGGCTGAAGATGAGGTAATACCTCGAAACTAGTATCGAAGCATATTAATAAAAAGCAAGTAAGAGGTTATTTTTGATTTTTCATTAATTACATACACCTTGCAACATGGATAATTACAATATTTATTTATATCACGTTTGTCATTAGCAACCTCATTGTAACAATCCCAATACGATATATAAAATCTCTTGTTGCAGTTTCGTCTAGTTTTCTTCTCTTCGCTTGTAATTCATTATCACATTCATTACTAACAGAACTGTCAGTGTTATCACTTTCGATTATTAATTAAAGTATCCTCTTTTTAATGTTTTTCCGTTTTGAAAAATCACTTTTAGTTTTTGAGAAATAAATTTTTGAAAAGATCGACAATTTTTTCGAATTTTGAAATTTTCGCCGATTAAGTTTTAAAAATTCGTATAAAATCCAGTTCTTGGAATAAGAGTATAAAAATTTTCTAAAGTGTTAATAAAAGTGTCTTCTTTCCAACTCGTTTTGCAAAATAGCTTTTAGTTTTTGAGAAAACAGTATCTGAAGTTTTGATCAAAAGTTCGATGTTGCAATTTTCATCGATACCTTTCAAAATTCGCTATAAAATTAATTTCTTGAAGGATCCTTGTGGAAATATCACCAATTATTAATTAAAGTATCCTCTTTTTAATGCAACAAGCCGTTTTGATAAATCACTTTTAGTTCTTGAGAAATAAATTTTTGAAATAATCGATAATTTTTTCAAATTTAAAAAATCCGCCTATTAAGTTTTAAAAATTCGTATAAAATCCAGTTTTTAGAATAGGAGTATGAAAATTTCCGAAAGTGTTAATAGAAGTGTCCTCTTTCCAATGAACCAACCCGTTTTGAAAAATAACTTTTAGTTTTTGAGAAAACATTGTTTGAAGTTTTGAGAAAATTTTCGATGTTGCAATTTTCATCGATAATTTTCAAAATTCGCTATAAAATTAATTTCTTGAATGATCCTTGTGGAAATATCACCAATTATTAATTAAAGTATCCTCTTTTTAATGCAATAAGCCGTTTTGAAAAAAAACTTTCAGTTCTTGACAAATAAATTTTTGAAATAATCGAAATTTTTTTCGAATTTTGCAATTTTCGCCGATTAAGCTTTAGAAATTCATATAAAATCCAGTTCTTGGAATATGAGTATGAAAATTTCCCAAAGTGTTAATAAAAGTGTCCTCTTTCCAATGAACTAACCCGTTTTGAAAAATAACTTTTAGTTTTTGAGAAAACAATATTTGAAGTTTTGATAAAATTTTCGATGTTGCAATTTTCATCGATAATTTTCAAAATTCGCTATAAAATTAATTTCTTGAAGGATCCTTGTGGAAATATCGCCAATTATTAATTAAAGTATCCTCTTTTTAGAGTTGCTTCGTTAGTTAAATCAGCATCAAAAAAATTCATTTTGTATCTTGGATCCAAATAAGTTGACATATCTTATCAGCGTTCTTATTAATTTCATTTTTATTCAAATATCCCAATAATGTGGCAACATAGGGTATCACTTCAGAAATGCGCCAGAAATTATAACCATAATGGCCGGAGAGATATGCCATTCGGCATCCCCTTCGGCCGGATATCCGGCTTTTCGCAAAATTACTATCCTTTCCATCACTAGTCGTTATCATACACAGACAGTCCTGTAACCAAAGCTGATTCGTCTGTTCTTTGAGTAATTTGGGCTTTTACCACTGGCAGGTTACTAGCTTCAGCAGTGAACCAGTATTTTTGGGGGGGTCTGTTCTTCTTTGCCCCTTTTTTCTGATACTTTTGGTTCATAAAATAATACTTGATCATCATTTCGATGCAACTCTGTATAACATCATGTACCTGATTGATTAGCATGACCATGAGTTGTTGCTGTGAGTTCGCAATCCTTTAGAAATTGTAGACATAGATTCTTCAATGAAGTTTTTCTCTCAGTTTGTACCTACAGTGTTTTAGAATCTTTTAAACACAAATTTAGTAAAATTTATTTTCGTTTTCTCTATATTAGTTCTCAGTCCCACCGGCTTCACCACGTCCTTTATTTGTTTGCAGGTTTCTTCTGCATCTGCGTTTCACATTTCGTACAGTTCTATGAACTGTTAAACTAACTTTTTTTCCTCCTCATTTTCAAGCAACTCAGCATCAAGCTATTCGTCATTCATTTTTTAAAACAAAAACCTATACAGTAGTATTAAATATTAGGACTGGCTGGGAGCGAACAAGACGACGTGTGAACTGCAACAAAATTACAAAAGACTGACGAACTGATTTATGGCTTACTTTACACAATCAGTATAGGGGCGGAAATGTTATGCATGTTTAATTCTTTCAAATCATCCTGATCGATCATATTGGTAGTATCTGCAAGATCGTGTAGGGTCAAAGTTGAGTGCAGGTCACCAATTATAAATGTCATTAAACACATAATGAGACAAAAATACAAATATTGCATTTATTCTGCTTTTTTAGGTGGTAAATGTAAACGATTTCAATTTGAATGTCGCTCAAATAGCGAATGTATAGCAATATACAACGATTGCGATGGTATCCCACAATGTTCCTAATTAGGTTCTCTATCTCATTCTTTTTAGTGATGACGATGAACGTGATTAAACCTCCCATGGTTTAGAAAAAAAAACTTGTCTTGGCCTAAAAACCTGAGTTGACCCGGTGTGTTAAAAAAAAGTGATTAATTGTTAACTAATTCACTAATTTAACAAGTTTTAAATGATTATATTGTTATTAAATAAGGACTTTATAAATCTCTATGGAAAGATCTTTTTAGAATTAACAAAATTCGTTGTTTTCACATTCTAAGTAGAATGCAACAAAAAACATTCTAATTATAGGAAACTTGATAAGATTAACAATTTTTATTCAACATAAATAAATATAAAAGAGATACATCAATACGTCATTACGGCACAGATTCGTATAACTAAAAATAACTTAAAATAAAATGTTACAGTAAACGTTTCATCGATAAGTTTACTGTTTGTTTATAAACCTACATATTCCATTTTCATCTCGTCTTCTATCCGGTCCACATTGCTCTAAAGTAGCCCCCAAAAGCACCAATTTCTCTTTGATTTTCGACGTTTTCCCAATTCCAATTTCTTCATTCTCTTCATCGTCAAGTTCGTTCGGTATACTAACGATATACGCCCTAGCAAATCTTTGAAGTTCTTTATGAGAGTCATGAGTGTCGTCAAATTTCCCCCTGCCAACTAATACTTCTTGAGTTTTTTCAACATCCGGTCGAATCTTATTTTTACCATTACCATCTCTTTTCGTCAAATCAACGTGATACGGCGCAGTTTTTGATTCAATGAAATTTTGAGTCTCTTGTTCATCATCGTTTTTCACAACGGCAACGTGCGGACGATGTTGATGTTTTCTAGATAATCCTTTGAAAAATCCAGATATGAGTAAATCTATCAAGCTCCCATTGGGAGGGGGAGCGATAATTACAACGATATTTTGTAAATCTGTCCTCACGTTTAAATTACCATCTTGACGTTGATCAAATTTGACGATCGGTTTGGATGTTGGAAGGGCCAAAATAGTTGTAACAGTTACAACGATGATGAGAAGATATTGTAGATGTAAAATTTGACAGCGAGTCATTATGTTTTAGGCGAGTGCACGTCGAGTTCTGGCCGCAAAACAACAACTACTAAACGGGTCCTCATCGTGTGAGCCGTTTCAAGATAGCGGATGCCGTTCTCCGAATTACTATAACGGTTCAACGCAGAACCTCAGGTATCTTAACGGTGTTCTTATGGTGGTTCTTTTTGAACAAATATTAAGATGAGTGAAATTTAAATTTACAAGAAATTTGCAATTAAAATTGGAAATTTTTAAAATTAACGTTTCATTGAAATTTCAGCTTTTAACATTTAATTTGTTTTTATTATTACTTGCAAATTATTTGTGATAATCGTGAATTAAAAATTAATTATGGAAAATATTTGATTTCACGAACTCAAAAACATTAAACATTAGTTCTACATTAAACGAATATTTAAATTTTATTTACTAAAAATGATGATATGGATCTGGTTGCAGTTCGTAGACCTTAACTGTCCACGAACGAAAAATCGTATCACGGCTCCCACCTGGGCTGTCCGCTATCCTCTTGACCTTAAACTTCTTGAGATGGTTTTAAAATATCCCTCAAGAAGTCATCGACATACATAGTAAACCGTTTTCCCTGCTTGTTTAAGCGTTGTGTACGGCCAAACGTTGAGCTACCGTTGGGCGCGTTGGTCATCATCGTTTGGTAAATTTATTGAAAATGGTACAACCGTTTTCATCATCCAAGTTTCTGTTAATTGCCGGCTTAATCGGTGTGATTGCTTCGGTGCCTATAGACATAAAGAAAAGAGGTGTAGAGTTATACGACCAGAAACAAACGGGAAAATACAACATACGAATCAATTTAAAAGACATTACAATAATTGATATACTTGGAGGGGATTATAACGATGATGTGAGTACTTCAACTTTAAATTGTTTGTTTATTATTACACTCAACATGTTTTTGTTTTAGAATTATGAATACGATTACGAAATTCCATCAGATTACACCGATTTTCCTATAGCAACAACCACTTCCACCTCAATTTCGACGAATTTAAGTTCATCAAATATATCTATTAATACAGCTCTTAATGCATCAACAGTTACCATCCAATCTAAACCATTAACAACGACTAATTCACCAAAAACAACAACAAAAACAAAATTAACAAGTCTTATTTTGAATTCGTCAACTACAAAACCAATTTCGACAACAAAATCGTCAACTTCCATTAAAATTACACCAACAAATAAACCATCTTCGACAACATCAAAGCCCAGCACCGGAATTGCAACATCTTCCGTTTCAACAACGTTGAAACCATCAAATAAAACATTAACATATTCTTATCAAACTGGAGTAGCAGGAGATAGAATTCCAGTTATTGTATTACAACAAAATCAAAATAATGATGCAGTTTCTAAAAGTGCTGCGTTAATAACTTCTCAAGTTACTATCGTTCCTGACGATGGTAACGAAGAGATAACGGAGCGTGTTGAATCGCTTGGAGAGATTCATTATAAGAAATGTCCGAATGGTCTTATTAGGGATAAAAATGGGATTTGTAGGAAATTGAAAAGACCACCATTGTAAGTGTCATTGACAGAATTGTAAATGTATTAATTTTGCTTGTTATAGGTTTGATATTTCTCGTTTCACGTCGGGTTTGGTATCGAAGTTTAGAAGGCAGGATACGGTTACACCAGGACGTAAAACAAACAATTAAGGAATTTAATTATGATGTGCTCAATTATTTAGAATATTTATGTAGATATAGGTTTTTTTTTGTCTTAAATGTCATTATTTATTATTAATGTTATGTGATTAACATTGTGAAAAGCTGTATATTGGGTTGAATACCTCAGTGTAACAAAATCGCTGGGAGTTTTCTGCTAACAATACCGTCCCATCTAAATTTTAACATAATAAACTTTAAAATATTTAACTATGGTGTTATTACTTAATAAACATAATAATATGCTAATAATTATAATAACATAATATGGCGCAGTCGCAATCTTCATAATATAATCCGACGAAATGTATAGCAGTAGCAATAGATTAAATCGAATCTTGAACTTCCAAACAAATAATAATATTAATTTTGCTATCACAAATATTCCACATCCAATTTGGCGCTGCTATGATAATATATGTAATTAACCCATTTAGTCCCACTGGTGTGAAAACGCACCATCATTTTTAAAATTATTTTACAGCCAACATTATAAATAAATCAGGTATGACTGTATAATGTTGAGATTTGTTTTTGACATATTAGGTTAAAATCAAAATTGCTCATTTTTATAAAAACTGCTTTTTGAAATCTTCTCTCCATAAAGTTAATGAGAGTTATATATCATTTTAAAAAAGAAACTTTATCTTTCAATTTGATATGAGAATCAATCTTTTATCATTATAAATAAATGAGGTATGACTGTATAAAGTTGAAATTTGTTTTTGACATATTAGGTTAAAATCAAAATTGCTCGTTTTTATAGAAACGTTTTAAAGTGTTCCCCCATAAAGTTGATGAGCGCTATATATCATTTTAAAAAGGAAACTTTATGCTTTAATTTGATATGAGAATCAATCTTTTATCATTATAAATAAATTAGGTATGACTGTATAAAGTTGGGATTTTTTTTACATATTAGGTTAAAATCAAAATTGTACATTTTCATAAAAACTGCTTTTTGAAATCTTCTCTCCATAAAGTTGATGAGAACTGTATATCATTTTAAACAGGAAACTTTAAGCTTTAATTTGATATGAGAATCAATTTATCATTATAAATAAATTAGGTATGACTGTATAAAGTTGAGATTTGTTTTTGATATACTGTTTGTACGATAAGACTATAAGGTTGTTAGGCTATACATATCAAAATATTTCGTAATTCTTGCTATTTAAACTATATTTGCATCAATTCTTTTCTATTGAAAATTTCTGTTCAAAATATACAATAGAAATAAAACCATTTTTAGTGCATAAAATTCTTTAAAATTTTGATATTTGCAGGGTTTTAGTGCATATTTTCCTCATATACATCTTGAAACGCGAAATAAAAATATGAATTCTGAAAATACGTCTTGAAACATGGTGCAAAAACACACCATTGGGATGTATGATGAGATATAAGGATTACATCATCTTTCGTATTATCAGAAACCAGTTAGACGCAATATTCGGTGAATTCCCTAGAAATAGTCGTTTATGGACTAAGGGCCGGTTGTACCACCTCCCGATAAACTATCTAGCGGCTAATTGAGGCCTGGGTGAGCTTTTTTCCATGTTTAGTATGGAGATCTTGAAAACTAGCGGAGATAGAGAGTGTTGGGGATGGTTTACCCAACGTAGATTTTGGGATGCTGACGAGGTTTTTTTTGAAAGTATGGACAGAACTAACGCTCCACAGTTTATTGACGTGCTTACTTCTTATTACATTAACAACTTGCTTACAACTAACTTAAAATTACCTAAATTCGTAATTGCGAAATAGAGACAAGGAATAAAAGAAAGAAAGGAAAGATAGGATTGTCGACCAATATTNTGTTGTATATCACACGTGGGCTAGAGCATAATTACAGTACTCGTGTGATTACACGACTCGGTCTACGACCTCGTCGTGCAATTCTCCACACTCGTACTGTAATTATATTTCTAGCCCACTTGTAATATAAATAACTATTACAGCCATCATTATAAATAAATCAGGTATGACTGTATAAAGTTGAGATTTGTTTTTGACATATTAGGTTAAAATAAAAATTGCACATTTGCATAAAATCTGTTTTTTGAAATTTTCCCACAATAAAGTTGATGAGAGCTATATATCATTTTAGAAAGGGAACTTTATCTTTCAATTTGATATGAGAATCAATCCTTTATCATTATAAATAAATTAGGTATGACTGTATAAAGTTGAAATTTGTTTTTGACATATTAGGTTAAAACCAAAATTGCTCGTTTTTATAGAAACTTTTTAAAGTGTTCCCCCATAAACTTAATAAGCGCTATATATCATTTTAAAAAGGAAACTTTATGCTTTAATTTGGTATGAGAATCAATCTTTTATCATTATAGATAAATTAGGTATGACTGTATAAAGTTGAGATTTTTGTTTACATATTAGGTTAAAATCAAAATTGTACATTTTCATAAAAACTGCTTTTTGAAATCTTCCCTCCATAAAGTTGATGAGAGCTATATATCATTTCAAAAAGGAAACTTTAAGCTTTAATTTGATATGAAAATCAATCTTTTATCATTATAAATAAATTAGGTATGACTGTATAAAGTTGAGATTTATTTTTAACATATTAGGTTAAAATCAAAATTGCTCATTTTTATAAAAACTGCTTTTTGAAATCTTCTCTCCATAAAGTTAATGAGAGTTATATATCATTTTAAAAAGGAAACTTTATCCTTCAATTTGATATGAGAATCAATCTTTTATCATTATAAATAAATTAGGTATGACTGTATAAAGTTGAAATTTGTTTTTGACATATTAGGTTAAAATCAAATTGCTCGTTTTTATAGAAACGTTTTAAAGTGTTCCCCCATAAAGTTGATGAGCGCTATATATCATTTTAAAAAGGAAACTTTATACTTTAATTTGATATGAGAATCAATCTTTTATCATTATAAATAAATGAGGTATGACTGTATAAAGTTGAAATTTATTTTTGACATATTAGGTTAAAATCAAAATTTGCTCATTTTTATAAAAACTGCTTTTTGAAATCTTCTCTCCATAAAGTTAATGAGAGTTGTATATCATTTTAAAAAGGAAACTTTATCCTTCAATTTGATATGAGAATCAATCCTTTATCATTATAAATAAATTAGGTATGACTGTATAAAGTTGAAATTTGTTTTTGACATATTAGGTTAAAATCAAAATTGCTCGTTTTTATAGAAACTTTTTAAAGTGTTCCCCCATAAAGTTGATAAGCGCTATATATCATTTTAAAAAGGAAACTTTATGCTTTAATTTGATATGAGAATCAATCTTTTATCATTATAAATAAATTAGGTATGACTGTATAAAGTTGAGATTTTTTTTTACATATTAGGTTAAAATCAAAATTGTACATTTTCATAAAAACTGCTTTTTGAAATCTTCTCTCCATAAAGTTGATGAGAGCTATATATCATTTCAAAAAGGAAACTTTAAGCTTTAATTTGATATGAAAATCAATCTTTTATCATTATAAATAAATTAGGTGTGACTGTATAAAGTTGAGATGTATTTTTGACATATTAGGTTAAAATCAAAATTGCTCATTTTTATAAAAACTGCTTTTTGAAATCTTCTCTCCATAAAGTTAATGAGAGTTATATATCATTTTAAAAAGGAAACTTTATCCTTTAATTTGATATGAGAATTAATCTTTTGTTATTATAAATAAATTAGGTATGACTGTATAAAGTTGAAATTTGTTTTTGACATATTAAGTTAAAATCAAAATTGCTCGTTTTTATAGAAACGTTTTAAAGTGTTCCCCCATAAAGTTGATGAGCGCTATATATCATTTTAAAAGGGAAACTTTATGCTTTAATTTGATATGAGAATCAATCTTTTATCATTACAAATAAATTAGGTATGACTATATAAAGTTGAGATTTTTTTTTACATATTAGGTTAAAATCAAAATTGTACATTTTCATAAAAACTGCTTTTTGAAATCTTCTCTCCATACAGTTGATGAGAGCTATATATCATTTCACAAAGGAAACTTTAAGCTTTAATTTGATATGAGAATCAATCTTTTATCATTATAAATAAATTAGGTATGACTGTATAAAGTTGAGATTTGTTTTTGATATACTGTTTATACGATAACACTATAAGGTTGTTAGGCTATACATATCAAAATATTTCATAATTCTTGCTATTTAAATGATATTTGCATCAATTCTTTTCTATTGAAAATTTCTGTTCAAAATATACAATAGATATAAAACCATTTTTAGTGCCTAAAATTCTTTAAAATTTTGATATTTGCAAGGTTTTCAATTAATTCATCGATATTTCTTTGTGGTAGTTGATGTTGAAGTGATGGAATGGAATTGAAAAAACCTAAATCCAACACATTTAAAACGGGACTGTTGGGTGGTTGCGGTTTTAATTGAATATCCCAACCGTCTTCAGTCTTGCGTTAGGGAAGAATCGTGACTGTACAAATGTGGCTTTGCATTATCTTATTTTTCTTAGAACCAACAGGCCACTTATCCCGTATTGCAGGAATGAAATTATGAAGAATCATTTTCCGTATTTCTTCTTTGTTAACAACTTCCACNGATAGGATTGTCGACCAATATTGCTAAGTAAGGAAAAGAATCATGTTACACAATTTTGGTTAATTAATAGAAAAGAAAATGATTGACTTTAAAATAAAGAGAAAAGAATAACATTAAGAGAAGAAAATAACATTAATTAAAATTATACACTCGCAACAAGAGACGATTAAATAGGGAAAGAATTGCAGTTTCATGAACTCAATTTAATGAGCTTTTTGTTTTTTGGATGAAATGCATGGCTAACTAGATATCTCGAAAAAACTGTTTTTTTGTTATACCGTTAGATACCTATGGCTCCGCTATTATTGATTTTAGGAAAAATGTGTAAAGGAAAAATTTGTTGGGTATTACCATTGATTATACTACTCAATGTATTCATATAAAATAGTCAATGACAATAGTTAACCATGGCAACCAACAGTTTCAGATATCAAAAATTAATCGTTGTCTTAATAAAGAATCTGAAACAATTGGTTGCCATGGTTACGTATGGCTACTGCTATTTCTCTATCTCCAATGAATGGGAAATCATGAAACTTTAAGACAAAATTTCTCGAAAACTTTGTTATGTAGCTAATATTAATTTTGGCGGTACCAAATTCAGAAAAAATCCTCTTTCATATTCCATAATAAAAT